ATATTTCTACAGCACAATAGAGTGAGACTAGCCAGTTAGGAGTTAGACTAAGAATGTCATTGGTCGTCTATTGATGCAGGGCTTTACCTGCTAGTTTTACTATACCAGCCATCTATTTCGTATTTCGTATTCTGTATTTCATATCTCTTATATTGCTGTTATTTTATTATGCATTTTTATGGTACTAATATATCGGCTCATGTTGCTTTTCTTTTTGAGTCGAGGGTCTCCTGGAAACAGCCTCTCTACCCTTCGGGTAGGGGTACGGTCCGCGTACATATTACCCTTTCCAGATCCCACTTGTCGAGTTATACTGGGTCGTTGTTGTTGTTGTTACATATTAAAGTAACTGCTTGTTTACACTAGTACTAGTATTGACTATTGACTATGGAGGAAGACAAAATGGATTATACTAATACGGGGGTTTGTTAGATTTAAGACAACTGGCTGACTTACATTTTGCGCACTTGCAATATCTTAATTAGGGCCGAATGGTCAAATCAAAGAGTAGCTATATCTAATACTCCCTATGTTTCAATTTAGATAACGTAATTTGACCGGACACGAAGTTTAAGAATTTTTTTTTTAAATTTGCGGTTTCAAAAGCTTAAGGGGTAAAAGTTTTGTGGATTCATAACATTTATGTGGTTATAAAAGCTTCTCATTAAGGATAAAATTAGTAAAATAAAGAGCTTAAAGTTAAATTATTTCTAAATTTAGAAATATATCATTTATTTTCGAACAGACTTAAAAGGAAAGTACCTCGTCTAATTTGAAACAGAGGGAGTATATATTATACCTTATCAGCTATTTTTCATTTAAGTGGTTAGATGGGCGTCTAATTTGATTAATTTTTCTTTTAACGAAATGTCACAAGGACAAAACTTACAATTTCAAAGGCGGGAAAAAGAATAGAAGGAGAATTTCTTTTAGTAATTGCTTGTCTATTTCGGCTTGGAAATACAAAACTTCAAATGTGACTTTATTATGTATTCGTGTTTTTTAAAATTCAAATTATATGGCTCCCTAATGTGAAACTCGTAATTAAGGAATTAAAAAAACAAAAGAAACCGACAAAATTACATAGAAAATGTGTTTCAATGTTGTTAATATTGGTGGAATGCAAACCAAGAGACGTAGAAGTATGAATGTTTGTCTGCCATTAATTCAAAGTCCCATGAAACAAAGATAAAGCGAGGACCGAAGACTAACAAATAGACAGTGTGTACGAAGATAAGAGAAAACGAGGAATACCGTTGATGCTATTTTAATTCGCTTTCTCGTATTCCAATTTATTTGTTGTAGTTTGACCAAGAACGGAAGATCAAAACGAATTTTAAAAAAAATTTATAATGTTAAATATATCATGAAAGTTCTATAATGTTATATTTAGAAATACTTACTCTTTTTAAAATGCATTTACAAAAAGTATAATGCAACATAAAATGTAATAGATGGAGTAACCATTTTCGATACTAGTGATGTACTAAAAGCATAATTGTTTGAGGACTTGGACTTCGTGGCGTATCTAGGTCCTAGGATATGGGTTCACGTGAATTCATGCTTATCTCTTTAAAGTATATATAACAATATTAAATTTCTTCAAAATTACTTAAAGATATGTGCATGCACCCATGCTCAAGAACCCCTATGATAAAATAATTATTGGGTACACCTTTATAAGTGAAACTAACGGTTCAAACCCACTTCAAATGGTCTTGTTTTCGATATGAAGTAATATATATATATATATATATATNTCTATACTACATTAAAAACATGAAGACCCTTAGCAAAATATTATTCATCTTTTTTACTCTTTAAAAATAGGATTCACACTAGATAAAATAGTCAATTAAGTTCTAAAACTCAAATTTAAATTAAAAATAAAATTTATCTTTTTTTTTTTATCATATTACCATACTTAATTCGGTTAATAATCATATGCAATCATGTTAGGAACTTTTGTTATTTTTTTAATTATTTAAATACTACTTCGGCTCTAGCAAAAAAAAAACTACTCCATATAACTATTATACTCTTTCACATTTTTTTTTGGTAATTAAATACTTTTATTACCAAGTAAATATTTACAATATATACCCAGAGACTAAACTTCTCTACTCTCCTTTGTTGGACATGAAGCCCCAACGTAAGGATACTACATTACCCCTAACCAACTGTATTCCTTTCTAGATTATACTGGGTACCAGTTCAAATTACTTAGGTAGGCATCCAACTTTTTACAACTTTGAGCTCGTATATGAATCTCCTGCACTATCACTTTCACTATACTCACAACATTGACTTTTTCCTTTTGAAATATACTCTTATTCCTAGCTTGCCAGACATGATAAACAACTGCAGCCAAAGTAATTCTGTATAACTCTGCTCCAGCACTCTTTCCTGCTGCTTTCTCCACTGCCCATTGTACTTCTTCATGCCATTATTTTTTCCTTCTCACGATCCCTTGCCACTGTAACAGTTTCTGCCATATTTCCCATGCTACATCACATTCAAAGAAGAGATGTTGAACTATTTCATTGCTCCGCTGACATAGTGAACATACTGTTTCATCCATTAAGCCCCATCTAGCAAGTCTTTCCTTGGTAGCTAGTCTGTCTGGGATTGCCAACCTTAGGATGAAAATCCATTTAGGCATCCCCTTGTTATTGCATACTAGCCCTCTCCATGACACCTTTTGGAAGCCCCCTTGTAGTCTTTTGTACATTTGTTTGGTGGAGAAACTATCTAGTTGCTTCACATCTTCTTCTGAATATCCTGCCTCTTGGAATTGCGCCTTTGCTTTGAAGATCTTCTGTATTACCCAGGATGCATTCCTAGGCTCTGTGTCCCAAGTACTGTTCCCTTTTATATAATACGTATGGACCTATTGCACCCACATTTTCTCCTTCTTTTTACATATATTCCATAGCAACTTACAAATAACTGCTTTATTCCATATCTCTATGTTGATGAAGTTTAGTCCCCCTGCTGTTTTAGGTACACATAGTTTGTCCCAAGCAATCAGTGCCTTTCTTATTGGTTCAGCATTCCCAGTCCATAGAAATCTCCTGCATATTGTCTCAATGAATTGTATAATCTTCTTTGGTAGTATGAAGACTTGTGCCTAGTAGTTATGAAGTGTTCCCAATACGCTTTTGATCAATGTTGCTCTCCCTGCATAAGATAATAACTTGACTGTCTAGCATTGGACTCTACTCAACATCTTGTCAATTAAGGGCTCACATTGGACTATTGACAGTCTCTTTGTACTCAATGGGACACCAAGATATCTAAAGGGTAGTTCACCTTTAGTATATCCTAGTATTTCCAGAATTCCTTGCTGCACCCTGTTGTCAACTCCACCAAAGTATACACTGCTCTTGCTTGTGTTTGCTACTAGTCTAGAAGCTTTGGAGAATCTTTGAAACTGATTATGAATTTCCACCATAGATTTCTCCTCTCCCTTGCAGAATAGCAGTAGGTCATCAGCAAATTCTAGCTGTATGAGATTCAGTTTAGCACACCTTGGATGGAACTTGAAGTTTTTGTTGTTTCCTAACTGCTTGAGTAATCTACACAACTACTCCATTGCTATGACAAAAAGCAGTGGTGAGAGTGAATCTCCCTGCCTTAGCCCTCTCTTTGCTTCAAATGGCTTGATTGGCTTCCCATTTACAATTATTGAGTAAGATACTGTGCTTATGCTTGCCATCACCCAATTTACATATTTTTCTGGATATCCCATCAGCCTAATTACTTGTTCCACATAAATCCATTCTACTGAATCATAGGCCTTCTGCATTTCTATCTTTAGCATACATCTGGGTGATGTATTTTTTCTTCCATATCCTTTGATCAATTCATGGCTCATTATAATGTTGTCCGTGATCACTCTTCCTGGTACAAAGGCTGTTTGACAATTATCTATCACCTTTGGCAAGACTTCCTGCAATCTGTTTGTTAAGATTTTGGATATGATCTTGTACAGAACAGTGCAACATGATATATGTCTAAATTCTTTAATATTGCTGGGATTCTTCACTTTTGGGATCAGAGTTATAGTGGTACAGTTGATTTGCTTACACATTTCTAGATTGTTAAAGAATTCCAATACTACTTGAGTCACCTCCTTGCCTATTATATGCCATGATTTCTTGTAGAAAAAAGCATTGTATCCATCACAGCCTGGAGCTTTGTTGTCATCAATACTTTGAAGTTCTTGTTTAACCTCTTCTTCAGTTACTTCTCTTATCAGATTCAATTGTTGCTGTCTATTCAGGTTGTTCCCCTGCTTCATTACTTCTGAGTTTACTGCTGGCAATTGTACTGCTGCTGTTCCCAACAGATTTTTGTAAAATTTTAGAATCTCATCTTCCACATCTGTAGCTGTATTTAGTAACTGACCTGCATTATTAAACAAACAACCTATATGGTTAGTGGCTTGTCTACTCTTAATGCAAGCTTGGAAATATGCTGTGTTTGCATCTCCCAAGTTGAGCCATTTGATCCTTGACTTTTGCCTCATAATGCTTTCCTTAATTTCAATCCATCTAGCTAGCTCCTTCCTTGATTCTTTTTCTAGTGTTATACCTTCTGTACTGCAGCCAAGTCCATCCCTTTGCTTCTGAATTCCCTCCAACTTTAGTCTTGCTTCTTGGATTCTTTGCACAGTATTGTTAAATTTTTGTCTATTCATCTGCTTCAATTTGCTCTTTATCATCTTGAGTTTCCTCCATACTCTGGTCATTGTTTTTCCTTCTTCTCTTTTTCTCCAGCATTCATACACAACATCCTCAAATCTTTTATGTTGTTCCATACAGTAAAAGAACTTGAAAGGTCTCCCGTCATTTTGTTGCTCAAAGTCCATTGTTAGACTTAATGGACAATGATCTGAGAACCCAGGTTGCAATGTCCTTCCTTCCATTACAGGCCATTTTTAAATCCAGGCAACATTAACAAGATCTATCAATTTTGCTGTGAACATGGATGTTAGTCTACGTATACTTCCTTCCTACTGTCTTTAATTCAGTTAGTCCATTTCTCCAGATGAAATCTTTGAAGTCTTTCACTTCAAATTCCTGTACTGGTGTCCCTTGAGCCCTATCTTTATTAGTCAAGATGGTGTTGTAGTCTCCCATTAGCACACAAGGATCAGTAGCACCAGCCATTGCTTTTTCCATATCTTCCCATAGTCTTTTCCTATCTTGTACTGTATGCATACCGTAGACAGTACCAAATCTGAATTTATTGCCATTTTGCCTCTCTATGACTTCCCCTATTATGTATTGTTGGTGCATTTCATACCCTTCAAAGTCTACCCTTGTTTGATCCCAAGCAATCCATATTCTACCACCTGGAGCCTGTGAATAATTTTCTATCCATCTCCAGTTATTGAAGATCTTCTTTATGATACCTTCTGCCTTTGTTTCTTTAACTCTATTCTCCAAAACTGCTATAAGCACTACCTTATTCTCCCTAATAAAATTTTTTAGTTTCTTTTGCTTAAACACCTTATTCATACCTCTAACATTTCACACTATGATGTTCATCATTATAAATTTCTTTGATTATTGTTACCCCCTCTGCCTCTATCCCTAGGTAGTTCCTTATCTTTGCCTTGTTCCCTTGTCATTTAGACTAGCCTTTGTGCAGTATCTACCAAAGCTGTGAAAGCATTGCCAGTGTTAACTGCCATCTCATCTCTTCCATCTCCATTATTCTTTGTAGCAGATTTACCTTTTTCCAATTGCCATTGTTCTTCCTATAAATTGTTACTTTGTATCCCATCACTGACTTCTTCCAATTGCTCCAAGAATCTGCCTCTTGTATCAATTTTATCAGTTTTGGGATCTAGATTGCTTACAACTTTCCATATCTTTCCTTGATTCTGCATACCATATGTTTGCTGCCCCATCTCTTGCTTCTGAACTTTCTTGTTGTGGCATGAATGACCAATTTGATAGCAAGTTTGATAGTACTGGGGTTTCCAGTCATACTGTACCAGTTGCTCAATCACTTTGCCATTAGGGTCAACCAGCTTAATTGTCCCAGGTAGTGTTCTATTTATATCCATTTCTATAAGGATCCGAGCATATGAGATCCTATTAGCCACAGTTGTGCAAGCATCAGCATACAAAGGCTTCCCTAGTCCACTTCCAATTTTGCTAAGCGCCTTATTACTCCATTAGTTTAGTGGGAGTTTTGGGAATTTAACCCATAGCGGAATAGTTTTCAAAACCTCTTCATTAAAGTCAAATCCCCCAGCCCAAGCTTTTAGTATTATAGGTCTACTATTCATAGTATAAGGCCCATTCATCAACACTTCATCTCTTTCTTCAACACTATTCAATAAAATTGTGAAATATCCATCACTATGATATAATACCTTAGGTTTTCTGACTTTCCCTCATTGAGCAGCAACAAATCGTTCAATAGCTCCTATAGTTGGAGTATTTCCAACTATATACATTATTAGAGCTCGATTCCATTTCTGCTTCTCCTCAGCTATATCTTCTTCCAGGATCTGTGCTACTACTTCACCCTCTTGTATCACCGGTGGAATACATGTTAGATCTATTCCTTTTGTAGCTAATTTATTGTCTTGCAATAATCCAGCCCATGACCTTCCCAAATTGGTTGGTTTCGTCTGGTTCTGCCTGTCTTCCTCAGCTTGTATATTCACTGTTCCATTGCCTTTCTCCTTTACCATACTATTTGTTACTGTTTCATTGGGTTTTGCTCTGCTAGTGCTTGCATCTCCAATGGCAATTGGTGTTACATTCATCCTGGGCATCCCTAGATTAGCGGGATTCACTGGGGTACCTGAATTAACATGATTGCAGCTTAGATCTGGCCAATTTAGCTCGAGATCCAGTTCCTCTTCCTGCATTTTTCCCTTTGCATGTTGTTTTCCTTGTTCCTTTGAGTTACTTTCCTTGATTCCGCGATCAATTACTAACAATTTGGACTGATTTTTCCTTGGCCTCCCTCTTCCTCCCATTTCTGGTGGTGGCGCAGTTATCTCATCTAACGTGCGCCGAGAGAAAAAGCCAAAAAAGGGTGTAGGAGAGGTAATGTTGATTATACGTTTGAGGCAGTATTTATTATATTGCAAATTACTCTTTCACATGTAAAATCCTATAAGTATAGTTCTTTGAAACACTGTAGCTAAATTTGAATAAAACGATTTTTTTTAAATAAATGTAATATATAGGGTACATGTCTATGTTTATCTAAATAATAAAAAAGAATTTACAAAACCAAATAAAAGTTTACTTACATATATAATAAAGTAAACATACATGCTGGAGAAAGAAACATCACAAAATTAGTCAATATTAAAAAAAAGTTGTTTCTTTTTTCTTCTTGAAGAATATTTGCTGAAGGAGTCAATTTACATAAATGGACATCAAACAAATAATAAACTTTGGTTATACGATTGCTATCATTAATTTCAATTTAGCACATTCGATGAATTGAAGTGTTGTCACAACCCGGATTTCCCACCATCGGGTGTCGTGATGGCGCCTACTATCGGAGCTAGGCAAGCCAAATGTTTAAAACACCTTTCTTGGTTCCTTTCAATAATATAATAAGCGAGACAAAATCTAAATGGAAGACTTTAAATTTAAAATAACTGAAAACCAAAGGTGACGAAGTTTGAACAATGATACCCAGAGTTTGGTGTCACTAGCTCACGGACTACTACAGAATGCTACAAACAATGTC